AAGAATTTGATTTCATGGTGTGAAATTAAAGCATCCACACAACTCTCAGATCTTTAAAGGGCGAAAGAAAAACTCCGGAGAACAAAATGGGAGCCTTGTTAAATTTTGCGAGGACAAAAACATGATTAACCAATAAAAATCCTTGAAAGAGATTTCCAATTTAGCTCCAAGGAAGCAGGGATAAGGATTACTTTATTCTTTATTCTCACCCCACAAAGAACAGACTTTTTTTTTCTCTCTTTTTGGTATGGTAAAAAAATAAATAAATAAAAAATTTGGTGAAATTGCTTCCCCGTTGTTAGTTAGCTCCCATAACATCTACACTGCAAAAAATTGAAATCTAAATAAGTCATTTTTTCTTGCAATAAGTGCATTTTTTCTTGAAATTAGGAAGTAAGGGAGACACTTTGGTAATGGAACAAGACAATTTACATTTAGAATAAGAAAAAAACAATTGCATTGTCTTTTTTCAAGAGCATATTATCTAATTATCTTACTTTAAGACTAAAAATACTCTTTCAATTGGCAAATTATCTTATTTACCTCCTCAAATTAAGGCTAAATACACCTAATTTAAGATATTTGTGCTCATTTCTTGATCGTTTTTGCAGTGCAGCAGCGGCGGGAGGCGGACTCGGTTCAAAAGCAGCAACGTGGATCCGATAGGGCCGGTGCATGCGTTGAGTTTCCCCCTCTGAGAGCTCCAGCAGGAAGGCACGGTGGACACCAACACACACACACACCGATTTCTGGCTAACCCAGGTCCCTCAGTGACTCACTTCCCACACACACTAAATCATCACAACATTCACACACAACCTGGCAAAGCTCATACTCTCATTCCCAAAACACACAGTATTCCCATGAAGCAACCATAGCACTGGAAATACTTGTATGTTTGAGTGTAAAGGGTGACATGAGGGCAGAAAGGGCTGGGCATGTGTGTGCATGATGCAGATGTCGTGCATGCTTTTGTTGTGTGTGTATAAGAAATAAATAGCAATTTACTAGCGCAACAAAGAGTGCATGTGATATTAGCAGCCGGATAGTGTATGTGTGAATGTGTGCAAGGCTCTTATGGCTCTTATGAGCCCTCCTGACTGAATACCACTGAGGGCAACACAAACCCCGAATAGGGTCTTTTACATTGCCACAAATAATAATAATAAAAAATGCAATCAGAGCTGCAGTTTTCCGTGATAAAAAAAATATATTTGAAGAGACTAAATGGTGAAATGAGAGCCTACTGTAACAGGAGGGAGATGGGGGTTTGTGTGTAGGTTCCTATGCGTAGGGGTTTGCACATTTAGGGTGGCAGGTCAGGTGGCAGCAGCGAATCACAGCTGCACTTCCTAAGAATTGGCAAAATGCACGTGTCAAAGGAGCGGCAGCGTGTGTGAATGGTAGTGAGGAAAGGAAAGGGCATGTGGGGGTTGCATGGTTTGTGTGTGTGTGTCTTGGCGTTTGTGACAAAAAAATCGCAGCCAAAGAGCAAGTGAGCGCGTTCTGATTCTGAGACTGGCAGCATGACCGACTGATCCCTGCATCCATATCATAGGATTAAAAAGCCTGACACGGCACCGATACAATGGCAGTGAAATATGAGACAAAAAAGTCGGTCAATGGGAGAGGAAATGTGATTATGGACCAGAACCGGCGAGAGGAAGATAATATTAAAAAGAAGGGGAGGGAGAAAAAAAAAATCTGACACACTTTGAACACGAGCCATACAGCGGAGGTGAATGGTAACGCTGTCACCGGGCAGTATAGAGAGAAAGAGAGAGAGAAAGAGGGGAGAGAAGAGGAAGAGGAGGAGCTGCTGCCAAATACAAGCCTCTCCAATGATTTCCAAGAGCCAAGACACACTTCAGTCACACTGTCAGGAATGTTGTGGAGGGTAAAACCTGCCCAAATTCAGTTTGCACACCTGTTCGTCTGAGCCTGACAGAAATCCTCCGCCTGCATGTCCTTCAAACGGCAGCAGGTCAAACCAGGTCTCGGATGAATTAGAGCTCAGAAACTCCACTGGTTTGGTTTGTCCGGAGAAAAAAAAAGATTGGTGGGTCACAACTGCATTTCTATTTTCAACCACGTCACTGCATATGGCCTGGACCAGCATGCGAGCGAGCTGCTCCTAATTATTCATGATTTTATGTAACAAGATTTTGGGTAGGAAATTAGGTCAGAGAACATACTGTGCGCAGAGGGGGCGAACGTGGAAAAAGGGAAAGTTTGACTATAGGCACAGTCATTAGAATAGAGGAGCCTTACATCATTCTGGTTTCTATGCAGTTTTTAGGTCAACTAACAGGCTGATAGCAAAGTTGTGAGGAATCCATCTCCTCTATAAGGCACTAAAAACTATACAGCGCTATATAAAGGAATATTAAAGGATACTGATTAGTCATTCAACAGTTTATTCAATAAAGCTGACAATATTAAATGCTTCACTTGGAAAACAAAGCTCACTAATTATGTATTCTAATCTTACCTAAGATTTTTGTTCTTTGGTCCATTAAGCTAGTCTACCCCCCTATTGTGTCATGCAGAAAGCCACCGGACGCATGTTATAAAGTGTTTACTATAAATGAATACATCAAACGTTGAGAATGTCATAAGACTTGTGGTTGAGCCAGCTCCTGTGTCAACACAAGAACCTAAGTTTGTATAAAGCTTTAATAAATTTAGCAACAGCGCTAAACTCAGCAAGCTGCAACGCTCCACCCCGAGGGCAACGAACGCCTGATCTTAGCTGTGGCTATCAGAAAATAAAACAATAAATAAATAATAAAAAGTTTTACATGTATCTTAGTGAAGCAGATCTGATTTTTTTGTGTGGAATTATAGTCATGTTTATATAGTTTTTGCCTTCATTAAAAGTGGGGGTTATAAAATAAGATTTATTTTTAAGTTTCCCTTAAGAATTATTGAAATGTTGCTTTATTCTAATGATTTTAGGATAGATAACATGTTTATCACAAACCAATTTACATTTATTATGATCACTAAAAGGGAGATGGTCCACCATAGGATGTTAGATTGTTTAGTTAAATGACCTGTTGTGATATGAAGCTCTTAACTTAGATAAAAACAATTAAACATTTATAGGGCACTCAGTGAAATCCTTTGAAAATCAAAATTTCAAGCCAATAGTGTTATTGATATCCAGGATAAGACCTTAATACCTGTGTAACATTATTATTTTATGGCAAAAATTAATTGCCTGAATATAATGAGAAAAATAACAAAAGTGCTTCAATAAGAAATTCACTCAGAGAGTGAAAGAAACACTTTTTATTTGGTCCAACATAGGCATTAATGCTCATACTAGCACTTACAATTTTTAGTTTATACACCTAAATATAATTTACTAGGCTTATTAGCTTATTAAACTTCTCTTTTTAGGTGTTTAATTAACTTTTTACCTTTTTTTCTTGTTAACTTTTTATTTCAACTTAATTTCCAGTAGGTAATACATGATTCAAAGGCTCATCTAATGGGTGAAATGCAAAAATAAGACGTACAGCCATGCAGCAGTATCTTAGATATAGATCTTGTGCTTCTAGATCAAACCTGTAAGTTGCTCTATAAAGGGATAATAATAGCCCCCCCATCTGCCCCCCCCCCCTTTGAAAACTTCCTTGAAGCTCCCCTGTTTTAATATAAAACCTCAATTAAAGCAAAGCTGAATGCAAAAGTTTAGTTTGTTTCATTAAAACGCCTTTTATGTCATTTTTTAAATTCTAATAATAAAAAAAAAACACATACTTTGTTACACGAAACAGTTAAAATACTCACTGCAGCTACTTCAGCCTGCCCTCAATGTAAACCAGAGGAAAAAGCAGTCAGTCAGTGAGTCGGTCCTTGGCTCGGAGTCAGCGTCTGCTCACCAAACAGGCAGCAAGCCTTCTGAGCCAAACCAACCAGCGATTATATGTTTCACACTAAAGCATTACTCAACAAACTTTACCCACTTAAATGTGTCCAAACAGTCCGGCTAACGTAAGAAACGAGGGTTTTTAATGCGCGCGTGAAGCAGTTTCACATCAAACCAAACTACAGTTCTCCTTTCGTCTATATTTATATAAATAAAAACACCCACTGACGTCGGAGAAAGTTGTTTTTATTTTAAAGCAAGTCGAAAGTAAAGTACACGAAGCAGCTTTAAGTGTTTTAAAAGTGTTAAAAGCAGTGAAGCATAGAGAGCGCTGACGGCTGCTTCACCTCAGATGACCCAGGCAGGCAAGCAGACTGGCTGTCTGCTAGCTGCTACCCCCGTTTGAACCCACGAACAGCGGCAACACTTGAACCGACACCGCAGCCAGAACTGCCACTCGCTTCCACTGTCATCTTTAAAAAAAATAATAAAAACAGCTGGGATTTTCTTCTTCTTTCTACTTCACTTGGCTCGCTCACTCGGAGGAAAAAGCGAGGAAGAAACAAACCAAAACAAATAAACATTCCCCCCCGCGACATGAAAGGATAACATCCAGCCACGTCTCGTGCCGCCGCGCGCGGGGAGAGGCTAACGCTAAAGCCCTTTAGCTCCAGCGGGCTGCCCGTCATTAGCGGGGGGCTAACTGGCTAGCGGTTAGCTCCGCTGGCTAATAAATTTATTACGGACACTTTCACCGGTGCTTTAAGGGGGACGCGAGGAGGGGGGGAGAAGTTATTCACCCGTGGAAAAAAAAAACACCGCATTCACTACTTTGACAACTGCGTTTAAATATAACGCGAAACAACGCTCCCGCAAAACAAACTAAAGTTACCTGACAGCCGATAATAAAACAGTTTTATTTCTTATTTGGAGCTTCCCACTCTGAGAGGCTGTGATGGAGCTAGCAGCGGCAGCAGCAGCAGCAGGCAGGGCAGAGAGAGGAGAGCCAGTCAGTCAGTCAGGCTGCAAAACAACCCGCCTCTAATAACTTCACTTTTTCGCTCACTTTAGTCTAAATTTCCCAAAAGCTGTTAGAAAATAAGAAGTTTTCCTCGCGCCCTACCTGTGAGTGAGGCGTAGTTGCGGGGAGCGACGGGCTGGAAGTTGATTATTCCCAGATATCCAGAGTGGTGCGGTGCGGAGCGCATATAGCTAGCGCTGGGTACAGTAAAGATTGTAGCATAGCTAACCTAAAGACAACAGTAGAGAGGAGAAAAAAAAAAAAGCCTCCTCGTTGCTCATAGGGGGGATCGACGACAAAAACCACATGATCTTTTACGTCAGCATATATTTGCATAGGATGCCAAATTTATGTTTGGCGTCCAGGTGACGTGGAAATGTACAGAAAAGTTGGATTTGCGGAGCTGGGAACCATGCAGACCGAGGTGAAGGCTGGAGAGGGGGGGGAGACATGCAGGCATGCGGGAGCCACGCACTGCTGGTCCCCGCTCCTGCAGCCCGGATCCGCTCAGGATTCAGATGCATGGATGCCTGTGATTAACCAGCTTCCTATACACTCACTTTTACTATAATGACTTTATTATACATTTATCCATCAAATCACACATTATAAACAACTATATCAGATTCATATCTATGCAGGATATATGTTTGGGTTAATTTATTCATAATGTATAGATAGGCTGTTAAATATATAATCTTATAAAGTGTTACAATCTACAAAAAATAAAAAATAAAATCCATCCAGAAGCATAATCAGATAAAAATGGGTGTAAATTACAAATTAAAGAAAGAATACCAGCGCGTATATTTTCTAAACACCTGTTTGATCCGCTGACCTCCCTGCCTGCAGCAGCTCTACAACTGAGCCTCATAAAGTGGCTCTTTTCTTTTTCTTTTCTTTTTTTAATAGGAGTTGCCAAAGATGCCACCATCTAGTTTTCATCGGGAAGCGATCAGGGAGTGGAACTGAAGTTTCCCTGTTCATCAGACTGCTGTTTGCATTTCATTCGCCTCATGCATTTTTGATAAATGGGCTTGTTGTTGCGGATCAGATACAATAAATGTAAGACCTTCCTCTCGCCCACCTGCCTGAAAAGATGACATAGGGCGACACCAACAGGTCGTTTTAGGAACTGCAGACTTAATGTATTATACGCACCTTATATCTTTATGGCACAAGGAGTGGTCTTTGTTTTGATGAAGTGACCTTTTACTCATTAGATAAAGATAATCTTCCACATCCTTAAGAAAATAACTTTTAAATCAACAATTACAACATTAATATTGTGATTTAGCTTTTTTTTTACCCCAACTAATACACATGTATAGTAAAGGATAGTTATTATTATTTTTGTTTAAATGAAATACAATAATGCATACTAGATTTGGATCAAAGGTCTGAGAATAAATTAACTCCTTACCTATTTTTAAATGGGTGTAATAAAGCTAAGGCTCCTTACTTTAATATCAATAACAGTTTGGCTTTTTACTAATAGTTTTATGTTTGTTTTCTTTTATTTCAAGTGAAATATCAGTTTAGTATTTAGATTTTGGGTTTAATGGCAAGCATTCTAATCGGTTTAAGGGATCTCTTTTAACCTGATAAAATCTGAAATTCTTTGTATACAAGAGAGAATTCATCTAAAAAAAAAAATCCAAAATAAAATGACCTATTTCATTTCTAAGTGGTTCAAGGTGTCAAAGACTGTGCCATCATCTGAATTGGATGAATTGAGAGACAAGCCAGAGTAAATAGGGGCCTTCAGAACAGGATCGATGCCATAGTCTGAGCCATTTTGGCAGACTATTTTTTTTCTTCTGCAACTGGAGGCTCTTGCCAGTGTCTCCAGAATACACAATCAGGTAATGTTGCCAGGCAAAAAGTGCCAGCTCTTAACCAATAAGCAGAGTTTTGGCAACATTGCTTAGCAACAAAAGTTCAAAACCAAACCACTCAAGGCTTAAAATAGTCTAAAGTAGTAATCAGAACCATCGGTGTCACAAAATTCTGGGAGATAAGTCTTGGAGAGAAGAAGTACCCTGCTGGAATACCAAAACATGAAAAAGGTTGTTCCCTGAGCAGATGAAAATAATCATTTCTATACAGGTTATTGCTATAATGTATGACAACTAACATCCTGCTTTTCAAATGTTCTTAAAGTATATATTTTCCAAATATGCAAAAACATTTAAAAAGAAAAAAACAGTCTGTTTTTTTAATGATGCCTTCCTTTGTGTGTTTCAGTGAACTTTTTTCATTTGCCTTTGCTAAATTGTCTTAAACAAGTATTAATATTAATCATCAGAACCGAAGCTTTGGCCCTTGACCTTCTGAACTTTCGGGTCTGCACCCTGCTAGTTAAGTAATCCTTTGCATGCCTAAAACATGTTTAAAACAGAGAACTCTCACACTGGGAACCGAAAGCCGTTGACTTCCATGACCTCAGACTTCCAAAATAACCTCTGCTGAATGAAACACCACGGTATCTGTTTTTCAGCTTACATTCAACAGTAACTGGATGGCCATGTGATTTTTTTTCTGATTATGTTTAAATCAAAAGAAAATTGAAGTTGATCAAGTTTAAAAACATGTTTGTAGTAAAACTTTCCAGAATCTGAAAAAAAAAAACATTTCAAGAAAGTCTTTTGTTTTCAGTTTACATTATTCAACCAGGCTCTAAAACTACACAGAAAAAGTAGATATTGAGGGCTTTAATGAACAATGTTGATTCAATTTAGTCCATGTTACACTTAAGCAGTGGAATCCAAACCGTTTATCATGGGAGCCAGGAATGTCTTCTCTAAAAGTACCACGGGGCCAAAAAAATTTATTACATTTTTTTTTGTATTTTAAGTTTATTATGGGATCTGGTTTTTTTTTTTTTTTTGTTTTTTTTTTTTGCTTTTTTTACCTGCTGATTGAATAAAGAAAAGAAAGCAGCCTCATTTATTTAGAAAATAGATCAGTAAATTATTGTAGATTCATAACAGATAGTTCACAGGTTTGCCTAATTAAAAACAAAGAAGCAAAAAAAAAAAACAAAAGTATGATAGAACCGCCCTAAATGTAAAAAAAAAAAAATAAATTTTTTGCATATTTATGTTTTGCTTATGTATGATAAGCAACAGGAACAATACTCAGTACGTGATTAACCTTTTTTCTTCATACCTTTTTGTTATTACTTGATTAATTTCTTGGACGACTACTCTCTACATTTTATCTCAAATCAAGCACCTAGACATGCAGACCACTCCTTGGTGCAAAGAAATGGAAATTGTTAGATGCAGTTGGTGTAATATATTTTACCACTGGACTTTAGAGCAGGCAGACGGTGTCTGTAGTGAGGAATCAGGTCTCTTTGACTGGGAATCCCAAAAGATAACTCTTCCAGATGTAAGACGGTGTTGTGGATATATGAAGGTTGGTAGAGAGGGATTATGGGGCTGTTTTTCAAGATTTGGGCTCACCCCACTAGTTTAATTTAAAATAAACCCTTAATAATTATGTATATGAAGACATTTTGAACCGTTTTGTGCTCCTAACTTTGCAAGAATAGACATGTTGGTAAAGCTGCACATAAAGCAAGGTCCATCAGAGGATTGATGCCGGAGTTTGGAGTGGAAGATTCTAACTGGCCTGCAGGTTGTCCTTACCTCAAACCAATAGAACAGCTTCAGGATAAATTCCAGCGGGAGGCTTGGGGGATATACCTGGCCCCTGGAGAGACTCTCTGCAGCCTCTGACTGCAATTCAAGAATAGTACACATTTGTCGCAGACCTGGAAAATACCAGTGAAATAACAGAAAAGTGTTATTTCATCCATTTGTAGGATGAACTTTTCCATCAGAAAAGTATTTATGTGATTTATGTTTCTCATTTAAATCATCCAGCAACTTCTTTGGACGATAGTGAGGAAGCAAACAAGATACATAATATTAAACTACCTAAATGCTCAAAAATGAAATAAAAACCAAAGACAAAGCAGGTATATAGACTCTAATAATGAGAAAGCAAGCAGTTCAATTATTGTTTACACAATTATACATGTTAAAAGAAAGGTAGACAGTGTGTGAGTCTATTATATTAATAAGATTTAATTTCACAAAATATTGAACAACGTTGCCTTTATACAAGAAAAATAAATGGTAATAACTATTTAAGAGCTTTTGCCTTTTTGGCCTGAGGAAAAAACTAAAAATGCGGTGCTTAAATGGTAATTTTATGGATTAAATAACAAGAAATGGGAAAAAGGAGCAAATGATATGAAAACTAGAATCAAAAATAGTCAAACACAGGACAGCATACCCCTACTCTTCTCCACTTTATGTTCTCCACCTCCAAACCCAGACTTTTTAGTGCATTTTCCTCTACAGTCTCTGCTAAACCCTTTGCAGGTAATCCCAAAAATCACTGGCAATTCTGTTGTGAGGGTTTATATGATCTGCTGAATGTCATTTTCAGTCTACAATTTCTCCCATATCTTTGGAAATGTGTGTCTATTGTTTGGGTACTTTGAATACATCAGCCTTGGCAGAAAATATTTATGTGTAATTGCATCGTTTTTGTCTGGATGAATTCTATCTGACTCGGTAAGTGAAGCACCAGTGCTTTGCTGCTAAAGCATCCTAGGCTTACATTTTATACATTCAGAGTTAAAATGAGGGTTATGAGCTCTGACCCTGAGCAGGACTGAAATGCTTGTCTATCACACTGATGAGGCTAACTTTGCATTTCAGGCAAAAGCGTCAAAACTTTTTCCAACAGGTCAGAGGTGAGAGTTTGAGAGTCTTCTTTGTTTTAAATACAATAAATACAAAATGAGACCATTATACTAACCTCCTCTCCAAAAACACATCCCTAGCATCCCTCATATTTTGTTATGTGCTTGTAAATAAAGATGGACAGGGAAAAAAGATCAGTTTAATTTAAAAGTACTACCAGAGTTGAGATTGCTGTAAATTATATTTAGTCTCGCCAAGTTCTAAATTATTACCCTTGTGCTTCACTTCCAAAGCATTTACAGGGGTGTGCAAAAGAAGTATTTGAGATTCTCAAACTCATTATATTAGACCAAGTTTCCACTGTGAATACAAAACAGATAATTAGGCAGCTTTGTGATTTATTAAGAAAAAAGTCTTCCAAACCAACCAGGTCATTTCCTAAAAAGTAATTTCTTTCTTGTTGAATCATTAATTAACTGTGTTTTAGCACATTTTTACCAGGCCTGCTTACTGTCTGAACAGTTTGATCAAGATAACTTCAGTGGAATTTAACTGAACCATGATGTAGGCTGAAAGACTTTAAAAATGACAGATCTTGCTCTGATTTGAAAAGTTTCAGACTAGTTGAGAAGCAAACCCAATGGCATAGTTCTGCTGGAAAGGGTTTCACAAACATTTCCTGCTACTTGCATTGTATTTCAAATCAA